TTGTTCGCTGGAGAGGTGCTGCTACTCGCAGACTTGCCATCATATAGAGCTATCTTTCCATATGGAGGGCGTGAATTCTTGTAAGTGAGGCCAAAATTGAAATTAGGATCACTTGAACCAGTTCTGAGCCTATAGTTTCGCGACTCGACCATTCCCTTCAAAAAAAGAATTTGCGCCGCTTCAGGTGCTTGATTAAACGCAAAAGGAAACGCTGTTAAAAATTCTCGTTTTTGTCAACTTGAAACTCCTTTTTAATTGTTCGAAAATCAATAGAGTATAAATCTCTGAGGAAAACTGAGTCACCTTCTTGCAGTGCGAAAACCTCTCCATTAAGTAGTGCTCCAAGCATCTCTGGTAAATGCCAAAGAACTCAGTAGCAAAATGTTTCATCTTTTACGCGAGGTTCTGAGTTAGAAAAAGCGTCATTACTTATGGGCCAAGCCAGTGTCATTCACCCCAGAGAGTATCGGAGGTGTAAGTAACGTCTGCTGAACCGCTTTTGAGAAGTCCCTCATGACAAAAAAACAACGGAGAATTTGAATCAACACTTCTGGGACACCTGAATTGTCCCCATTCAAAGTTCCACAGGTTTCCAATCATCTTTGATGTAGATCAATCTTCTAGAATACCTGGTTCATAAAATCTACCTACCAGCTGCATAAAAACCACTTACAGGATAGTCTATTTGCTGAAGTTTACTATAAATCTATATAAACGTAATACCATAAAGCAATTAATTCATTCTCTTTTGACTACTGGAAGTCTATTGGCTTGGAGGTCCCCTCGAATCATGCCCCAATTCATTAACGCGCTCTAATCATAACCAGGATTACGGTAACACCCATTCACACGGACTCCCAAATCTCTCTTGTATGATGGCGAGGTTGCCATGAACAAGTATCTGTATAACAAGTATCTGTATACAAATTACATATGCGCTTATATATGCATAAATATATTCATGTACATATGTATATACATTGGGCACTATTCAACAATTACTACCCCAATTTTCCGAAAACAGGCCGGATCGACATTTTTCTACGAAGGCAGATTTGGCTGAAAGTTAGGTTCCAGGGGTAATTCGGCCTCCTCAACACGAATATCTTCGCCGCTCGATCTGAAGACCGCCTGGCGCCCGCGCCATAGGCGCTGGCACCAAAATACCTTAAGACGGACAAGCCCAAGGGCGATGGTAAGCTTAAAGACACATGGTACGCTCAAACACATTGAGGGTGTATGAGACTATCAGCCCCCCAGCTGTCGATGTGTCGTGGTCCCCCCGCCCAAAACTGCACGGGGTCAGAGTACGGGACCGTGGGAAAGTCGTAATTCCTTGCTACGCCGCCCGTTTTTGCAAACTCACGTTTTTACTAACACCGTCCGCGCGGCGCGGTCGCGTGCAGCTCTCTTGGCTTTTTGCCAAGTCCTGTAATTGCGCTTTGGAATACAAGTACAACGCAATTTCTTTATGCGGATAACATTTTAGGTTCTGCAAAATAAGAACTGAAGATGATGACGAGGGCTAGAACTCAAGAGCAACTGTGCTGCTTCTGCAACAGCCCTCGCAGGCCGCGCATTCCCACAAAACATCAAAATAAAAACGGCCTAAGCGTCCCACTCGTTAGTTTGAAGTATTTCTATAGCATTAGAGCCGGATTCGAGCCGGATCGCAGAAATGCACACGCGATTTTAATTTGCGTTTCCTTAGTTTTTTTCAATTTTGTTTTATTTACATCTACATTCGTTGTTGTTCATTTCTAGCCTCATCTTCATCACCTTCTATTCGGACTTTGAAGCATGAGCAATACCTCAAATGTTAGGAAATTGCGTTTTGCTTGTATTGTCATGTTTTATTGTCATGTTGTCCGTTTTTATTGTCATGTTCTGTGGAATGCGCGGCCTCTGAGGGATATTGCAGAAGCACCACAGTTGCTCTTGAGTTCTAGCCCTCGTCATCATCTTCGGTTCTTATTTTGCAGCACCTAAAATGTTATCCGCATAAAGAAATTGCGTTGTACTTGTATTCCAAAGCGCAATTACAGGACTTGGCAAAAAGCCAAGAGAGCTGCACGCGACCGCGCGGATGGTGTTAGCATAAACGTGAGGGCGGTGTAGCAAGGAATTACGACTTTCCCACGGCCCCGTACTCTGACCCCGTGCAGTTTTGGGCGGGGGGACCACGACACATCGACAGCTGGGGGGCTGATAGTCTCATACACCCTCAATGTGTTTGAGCGTACCATGTGTCTTTAAGTACAAGCCTAAAACGGATAAGCCTAAGGGCGATGATAAGCTTAAGACGGACAAGCCTAAGAACGATGATAAGCCTCAGAAAGACAAGCCTAAGACGGATAAGCCTAAGGGCGATGATGAGCTTAAGAGGACAAGCCTAAGACGGCGAAACCTAAGTGCGATGATAAGCTTAAGACGGACAGTCCTAAGTCTGATAATGGGCGATGATAACCTTAAGACGGACAAGCCTAAACGGACAAGCCTAAAAGCGATGATAAGCTCAAGACGGACAAGCCTAAGGGCGATGATAAGCTCAAGACGGACAAGCCTAAGACGGATAAGCCTAAGGGCGATGATAAGCTTAAGACGGACAAGCCTAAGACGGATAAGCCTAAGGGCGATGATAAGCTCAAGACGGACAAGCCTAAGACGGATAAGCCTAAGGGCGATGATAAGCTTAAGACGGACAAGCCTAAGGGCGATGCTAAGCTTAAGACGGACAAGCCTAAGACGGATAAGCCTAAGAACGATGATAAGCTTAAGACGGACAAGCCTAAGATGGAAAACCTAAGGGCGATGATAAGCTCAAGACGGACAAGCCTAAACGGATAAGCCTAAAGGCGATGATAAGCTCAAGACGGACAAGCCTAAGACGGATAAGCCTAAGGCGATGATAAGCTTAAGAGGACAAGCCTAAGATGGAAAACCTAAGGCGATGATAAGCTCAAGACGGAAAGCCTAAACGGATAAGCCTAGAGGCGATGATAAGCTCAAGACGGACAAGCCTAGGACGGATAAGCGTCTAAGGACGATGATAAGCCTCATACAGGCAAGCCCAAGACGGATAAGCGTCTAGGGGAGATGATAAGCCTAAGACCGATCAGCCTAAGAGCGATGATGAGCCTCAGGCAGACAAGCCTAAGACGGATAAGCCTATGGGCGATGATAAGCTCAAGACGGACAAGCCTAAGACGGATAAGCCTAAGGGCGATGATAAGCCTAAGACGGACAAGCCTAAGGGCGATGATAAGCTTAAGACGGACAAGCCTAAGACGGATAAGCCTAAGGGCGATGATAAGCTCAAGACGGACAAGCCTAAGACGGATAAGCCTAAGGCGATGATAAGCCTAATACGGACAAGCCTAAGACGGATAAGCGTCTAAGGGGAGATGATAAGCCTAAGACCGATCAGCCTAAGAGCGATGATGAGCCTCAGGCAGACAAGCCTAAGACGGATAAGCCTATGGGCGATGATAAGCTCAAGACGGACAAGCCTAAGACGGATAAGGCCTAAGGGCCCTGATAAGCCTAAGACGGACAAGCCTAAGGGCGATGCTTAACACGGACAAGCCTAAGACGGATAAGCGTCTAAGGGAGATGATAAGCCTAAGACCGATCAGCCTAAGAGCGATGATGAGCCTCAAGCAGACAAGCCTAAGACGGATAAGCCTATGGGCGATGATAAGCTCAAGAGGACAGGCCTAAGACGGATAAGCCTAATGGCCATGATAAGCCTAAGACGGGCAAGCCTAAAGGCGATGATAAAATCTATCTCATGGTCAGAAGGAAATACGACTCTCCTTTCCCAGCAACGAGCAGATCCACTCCCCCCCCCCTTTAAAAAACTAAAAAAGGCGTTTAGCCACTCTCGATCGCGATGTGTGATAAGCCACGCATTCAGCTTCCATTCCAAGGTGCAGGTTCAATGCTGACTTGTGGCATCACTCGAAGGGCATTACTGTACTGCTATTGGGCTTCACTGAGGCGGAGGCGATATAGTGGCGAGGGCACGCTTTAATCCTCTCCTACCCAGACCAACCAAGCCTTCTACCTTTAGGGCGCTTCTCTTCGCAGTCAGTTCTGGGCCTTTAATGAGTTTGCAATGGAGAAAAATGTTTCCTCTGGTCCTTTTCTGGTGAAAACTAACTACCAAGGAATCGAAGGACGAAAGATGGAAGCTGAGCCTCGCATTTCATACTGGGGCTCCCATTCTCGTACCTACAGTGGGTTCCAGGAGAGCTTGGACAGTGGACGGAAAAGACCTCTCCCGCTATCACCACGCGTAGGCTTCAAAGGCAGTCGTTAATTTCGTTCTCTGCAGAATGCGGGAGCAGAGGTACTCTGTAGTGCGATAGTAAAGCCACACGGGACGAAACACTCAAAAACTCTCAAAATAGGGTTCTTATAAGACGCTTCAATAAGAAGTTGTACGAGTCTACGCCTGGAAGAAATTATCCATGGTCAAAAATACGGATGCGGCACGCATTCTACTTCCATTCAGAATCGTAGTGGCTTATTGAATGCGATGTGGCCTATACAATGACTTGCGGTGGCCAGCCGATGTACAAGTCAGTGTTTTATCCTCCCAGACGAATCTGGTACCAATTTACCGTCCCCGGAGGGTAGAAGGCTTGGTTGGCCTGGGCGGGAGTCGACCCGGGATTTGAACCCGGCGCCGCGCGAGTGGTAAGCGCGCCACTTGTCACTACATAACCTCCGCCTGGTCAAAGATCAATGTGAAAAAAAAGTACGGCGACTGCACAGGGAGTATGAAAACGCATTATTTCAAGCGCGTACAATCTTCACAACACTACCATCACTGATCTTTAGCAGAAGCAGAGATAGTAGTGACACTTACACGAAGCGGCTGTGGAACATTTGCGGAACTCCGATGAAAAAAAACCAAAAATTTATAAGCTTCAAAAGGCGCTGCTTACCAGAAACCTCGCACCTGCCGAAGAAAGATAATGTCCCTGGCAGTAAGATCAAGACGATTTAGAAGAAGGACTTTTGAAGAATGGGGAAAAAATAACAGCTGATCCAATCGTGATCAATTGCAGATGGGTGCGCCACGTGTAGGCGTGTCGTTGTTGGAGTGAGTACGGCTTGGTATGTTAAGCCTTGCTAGCATGCTCAGATGCCGCTTTTCTTTAGAAAAAACATCATGAACGGCTTTTTCTGGGGCACGGAATTCTTTGGTGATCGGTGTTCAACTTACATGCCTAAGAAATCATCGTGCCCTTTGCCCTTAACGATGACGCCCGAAATGAGACTCCTAGGTTGGGCAAGTAGAGATACTTCCGCGCGGGCGAGAAAACAGAGGCGAAGGATAGCAGAGCAGGAAGGCACCGACGAGGGTCGGTCCTACACGGAATGAGCCCACTGCCTCACACCTGTATTAGGAGATATAGTATCTCTCGCATATTTCGTTCTCCGATGGGTAGGACAATGTTACAAGTGACATTCCCTCGGCTTATTGCGGCCGCATTCTCGACATTCACTGTGGCGTTGCTAAAGTGGACAATACATGAGACCGACTCTTGCAGGGAAAAATGCACTGGGAGGACCAAAAAACTTATGGGTAATGTGAACTATTAGGCTGGAAACATTTTCAGCCACTACAGTGCTCCATCCGATGGGCAGGTCCGCAACCTCTTCTCCCAACAGTGGGGAGGCTGTGAGTGGAACAAGTCGGCTACCACTTGACTGATGTCATCAAAGCTGCCGACAGGTTTCTTGGTTAAGACAGCTTTAGAGGGGCGGAAGGGTGTTAGTAGGAGGAGCTATGTCAAGAGAATGCTGTGAATGGGGTGTGGTCGCCTACTCCGGAAAACAGCCCTTAATTCCATTGTTTTAACCACACGTAGTTTCGGCGCATCCCGAACTCTAGCATCGCATTTCTCGTCAGTTTTAGAAAAGTAAGGAATTTTTATTCTTAAAGGATCAGAATTCAAAAAAAAACGCATATCTCAACTATCAACAAGTGATATGACATAGAATATCTCAAGTGAAATCCATAAATTATTTACAAACAGCAGTAAATAAATCCGATCGAATGCGGTGAGGCAGCGAAGAATATGAAATGCGTGCACCTTTAGTGGCACGAAAGAGAAATAATAAAACTATACATCGAGGGATAACTAAACGGAGCACGACGAGACCGGTTTACTGTAAGCAGCGATGTATGGGAGCACCAGTGCTGTATGGGAACACTCGACCAAAATTGACATAGAAGTTTCTGTGAGCAAAAATGCAAAGATCGGCCCGTGATTAGATAGGACCACCGTGAAAAGGGCTTTTGCTAAGTGTCAGTACGGCAGTGGGTCCTATAATTACACCTAGTTCTATAAAATTGAACCAGTCGAAGAATATATGTCGATGATGCAGTTGTACAAGCTGTATTTATTACAATATCATCTTATCAAATTGATTAGACCTTCGTCTCAGGACCTATACTTTCAGAACTTGATTGGAATGAGTCGCGTAATCGAATCATCTGCCGTGCGATTATGGTGCCATACACCTTGTTGTACCATGAAGGACCACGACCCCTGGAAATAAAAAGTTATAGCAATAATTTTTGCAGTTTCTTGTCTACACATATGCGTAAAGCATTGCGCGTGAGCAGTGCGTATGCATGTGATTTCCATGTTGTGTGAGCGCGTATGGATAAATCATGTTCCGGAGCTCCGTATACCGCCCCTCACCTATATAAAAAGGGGACAGGAAAGGGACATCGCCAAGCGAGCTTCGCGATGGCTGCAAGTGTCCAAGACGAGAGACAGGGACACACTCCGAATCCCCCAAATGCATCTAAGTCATCTGAAAAAAGTGGCTGCGTTTTTCCTGAATTTCTGTTTTGGGACGAATGTCCTCGTATATTAGATTCCCATTCAAAAAGATGAAGACATATCACAAGAATGCTGAGTTATGGGCAAAAGTCGGACCACGGACGGGATTCGAACCCGCATCTTCTGCTTTCCGTGCAGCTGCGTTCCCTATTACGCTACCGTGATGAACGTGTGAGTGCTCGAAGGCAATGGCACAAATAGCCATTGAGCTGAGTGGTCAAAAGTGGCCCCGGTAGCGTAATAGGGAACGCAGCTGCACGGTAAGCAGAAGATGCGGGTTCGAATCCCGTCCGTGGTCCGACTTTTGCCCATAACTCAGCATTCTTGTGATAGCTTTCGGATCGCGCACTGCGGCGTTAAACAGCAGTTACTAAACAATAACAGCATGAAGACATATATGTATAGGAATGGCAGTAGAGCAAAGGGATGAGGGCTGTGGGCTACTACATCATTGAAAACTGGTGCCTTTAGCTTCGTATCCGTGGAGTCGAAAATTTGGTTAAAATTTCCAAAGAAGGAAGAGGGCAAAAAGTTGTGGCTGAGAAGGGCCACTTGATGGTCATCCAGCCCAAGGAGGGCGGGTGGATAAAGTCAACCGCTAAATGTGTGACCACAGAGCTGGACCGTTCTTGAGCTTCCTCGCGAGACTGGCATCCCTCCTGTAGCCGTTGCCAGTGTTATGTTCGACAAATTGAGGTACTTAATGGATTGCGTGGTATGGCGCCTCATTATTTAGTAGAAGCACGAACGCTGTACCAAGTCCATGCCTGTAACAGTAATGTTAAGATGCCATATGTCAATTTTGTATGAATGCAGATGAGAAGCTGCCCGAACCAAAGTCGATGATTATCATAGCGAAGGAATTCCGCGCTGTGGCTTTCAAGCGACTCTATGCAACGAACAAAATCGTCGCTGTCGGTGAATATTGCCTGTTGCTCGACAATCGGATCGTACCTTACAAGTACAAGTGGGCCACCGCTGCTCGTCATAGTATCAGATCTGAGTAACTGTATTATAGGGCAGTGCTGGGACACAAACAATACTGAGACCTGGGTTCAATCGCCTCATTCGCCCAAAATAAAGCCGTTCGATTCCAACTGTTCTGGTCAGTCGAGGGTACTCTCCGACGGCAAACGCTACAATGTTTTGTCATTAGCCGGAATTATTATAGTATAAAAAGCGAGTTACTCGCAGTTGTTGAAAAAACCAAGGTATCAGTAGTCCAAACGCTTTCGGGGCACTGGGAAGTGGGTCAGTGGCGAAGGAGGGATCTATTTAACTCATTGCTAGAATATTACTTTTTCATCTGTTTTCCTCTTCGTTTTATATGAGGAAAAAGATCCACATCTTTTAACGGGATGACCTAATATTTGTCCAACAAGACAACAGATGTCTCAGATTTAAATACGAATCACTCTTTTTACGCCTTGTTAAAATGAAATATGCAGCCACACCTGCCGCGTCTCGGGGTTGCGGAGTTTATGCACAAGAGAGGATAATGGGAATATGCAACCGTCGCCGAATGCACCTGGAACACTCCTTTTCGCCCTCTGATATGCAAGTTATCTGCGCAATGGATTATTCTACAGTCGGGTTATCGCGGAACCTGTGTTCATGTGCGCATTCTACGAGAAAATAATGCCAGTTAGATTGCCCTTATGGAAAAAAGGAGCTGCCATAAACATTTAGAAGAGAACCCCAGTTGAAGAGCTGGGTGCATAACTTACGAGAACAATGTAAAGGAGATGAACCCTTGGGTGGTTTCTCAATTACGCGACTATATGTTTGTAGGGAATTCCTCTTTTTGGCGACTCTTATTTTTGACCCTTCGCATTGGACAAGTTTACGGACGCTACTTTTATATAACAGTTTGAAATCCGCATATGTGATGGGTACCCTGACCTTCTTCACTACGCTCAAAAAACCATCAGCTCAGCAGCCGTTAGAAAATGGCGCAAACTTCACTGTCATGTGGAGCTTTGCTGAATTCCAGGAACGGAGGTTCCTAAACTGTCAGATTCTTCTAGGATTTCAGAACTTTACCTGAGATCAACTCTGGAGAGATATGTGACTCTCGAGTGCCCAGCCTTTGGCTCAATTAGGAATCGACTATCCAGTACCGCTGCCGATATGCCTCCGAGCATCTGTGTTTCACTGCACTGCACACTTCGCTCGGCGATAGCACAGGCACCGCGAATCTCGGAAATATCTGCGCGGTGGAAGCTGAAATCAGGTTTCTTCACTTGTGCCAAAAGTTAGAAGCGATCCCTTAGTTTATGATGAACGAGATTTGGAAAAATATTCCTTATCAGAAGAAAGCAAGGCTAACCGATCAACGTGGATCAAAATCACGAAGGCTGTATAATCATCATACACCATGGTTGTGTGAAAGCCACAGGGTCGCATTTGGAAGCTGGGGCAGAGCGTTGTCTAAGGCCTCAAGGAAACTTTCATAACTGTCGGTCAGCAATCCAATGTGATCTTATCGAAAGTGTCCACCCCTTATCCTCGTCGCTCGACGGCAAAATTTTGGGAAATTTTATAAGAGCTTTGCTAGGCTGTTGAGGATAGCCGCATGGTAATGCGTTAATTCACACATGTCCCGATGCTTTATCTGTAATATCCAAGACCCACTGTGTGAGAAGTACTAGTCATTTGTGAACGTGCAATATGTTACACCTACCGAACGACAAAGCAGTCTCGTGTTGGATGTCCGACGGTGTCGTTAAGCACATATTGATGTAGGTCGGTGTCCGGAACGTGCAGAACGTCGACTGTTCGCCAGTTCACCACAGAGGTGTCCCACACGTTTCTAGAAGATCCCACTGTTAAAAATTATGTTACAGACTATTTGAAAGAGCGTGAGCTCGACTGCATAACATTACACTGGAGGACTTCGCATGAAAATTGCGCTATCTTCGACACTCCTCTATCCTCACAAATGAAGCGGACATTCCGTACTATAAGGCAGCGTTCAGACTTCGCGACGGTAGCGCTTCGGTCGCGCGTTGGGAGCGATCGATGCGCATGCTTTCGACTGCATCGATCGCGTCGAACGCGCGACCGAAGCGCCACCGTCGCGAAGTCTGAACGCTGCCTAAATGCAAACGCATTACTAAAATGGGTCTATATTGTTGATTGCGAGTGCCGAGGAAGAGGCATTACGAGCGGGTTTATCGGGTCAACTGATCAAACGCGATGCTGTGTTGAGTAGACTCAACCAGGTTGGTAATGTTGCTAGACTGCGCTCGATGAATCTGTGTGTCTCTGAGTCGTTCTTCTGTTTTCCTGTACACTCTTTGGTCTGTATGGCAGTCTATAATAGAAACTGCTCCTAGGTTTTCTAGAAAACTACGGAAACTTACTGATAGCGGACTATGCAGTGGAAGCAGATCGTCGTCTCGTCATTGTACCTGCACACTTCGGCTTCTTACGAATGATAAGTGGCTCACCTACACCGGAGTCTTTTTCACTTGAGAAAGCCCATATCTTGGCTCCATCATAGTTTCCTTGCATACTTCGATGCTTTGGCAACCTCTAACCGCTGTGTGCGTTGAAGGTTTCACTACAGGACTAGGACCACCCAGAAAAGTTTAGGTTGTCACGCACGCGATGTCTGCAGCAAGACTAACGATTTGCACCCAACTATGTAGGTAAACCCTATCGACATGACGATTCGCTGTCACTGCATGGCCCGCTATCAGCAAGTTTCCGTAGTTTTCTAGAAAACCTAGGAGCAGCTTCTACCATTATACATCATCTTCGATTACAGGGCCAATGCAACTAAGGACACTTTTCATAAGCTAACGAAAAAAAAACAGAACTGTGTGTTTGAGATGACCGGTGTTTTGAGTTGGCCCAGAATGAAAGGTTTTTCGAACTGAATTCAAATGTTTCGTCGATGATTTGTACTGTATGATAGAGAACTTGGTGGTCTATGAAACAGTTTACATAGTCTAATAGTGGCTTAAATTCCATTAATTTCTGATCATTGAAGTGGAGCATGAAGTCGACAAAAGTGAGCATCCTCGACACCCTCTTCTTTTGTATTTGATCGAGATTCTTAGAAATGAGAAGCTCATTTCTGAAGTGCATGGCCAAGATGCATTGTCTCTGAGGACGTTCAAAATTGAATCAAACTACTCTCAGAACTCCGACCACGCAAATTTATACCTCGTGCGTGCCAGAAGCACTGTTGGGTTGCATAACGCGGCTGAATCAAATGTGTCAAGTGACCGGTAACTTGGTAAGCTTATGGAAAACTTCTAAAGTACCACGAACGTCCTTTCCATCGTTGGAACGACTGCACTCGCTGCTTGGGTTCTGCGTGCAACAACCCTTCATGGGACCTAAGAGGTTGTCCGATGCAATGCTTTTTTATGAGGACGGAATTCCCAGCCCTGAATCGCTTGAACCAACTTGGGGCTGTGCGCTCTTTCTGACCTCACTTTTCACCTCTTTGTACAGCTTCACAGCTCTAGCACCTTAATTGAAGGAAAAGGTGGTGTGGAAAATGTTCACTTTTATCGAATGGACAGTTATTTTCTATCACCTAAACGTTTACGATGATTCAATCAGTCCACCAACTCAGTAAACTGTCCCGTGAGGCATGAAGTTCCCTATTCCTCCACTTCTTATATAAACCTGTTGGTTAACCGTCTCAATTTCCATAAGACATTTCGAAATAAGAAAGAACGCCATCGCTTGGGAATCAGCCCTACAGAATGGGATAGTGAACTTGAGGCGGGCAAAAGTCAGTTACAAACATATGTCTATTGATAGAGCAAAATGTACTTATGCACTACCTCTCGCGCATGATCCGATTCATTACTTGTTTCGGTGGAGCGGCTACATCTATCCACACACGAAACAGTTTCAGTGGATGGCAGTCGTTTGGTATTTTGCACGAGATCTCCACCTCTTCATGTGTTCCATCAAATATCCAACCTTTCCAGCGTTCAGAATGCTCCTGAAATAACAAAGCTTGAATCATGGGAAATCTGAGTCGATCAGGCAGCTTACATATAATGAGCAAAACATTTATCTATTGGAACAATCTGCTTTATTAAAATGGATTCATATGGGGTCCAGATAATTCTGACGAGTAATGGAATAGAAATACGCCCCATAATCCGGAGATGTGAAGGGCTGGTTACGTACGTAATGCGAGCGCGGTTGCATTTTTCGTTTGTGGTATATTTGACGATCAGTTACAACCCTCTAGTCGCTAAATAACTCTTCAGGGGAGAAAATAGCAAAAAGGATCGTGGAGAACACCCTAACAGTGAGTAAGGACCTGGAAGCCTCCCTGGACGAGTTATTCGGACCTGCTCGTTTTATGCCAGCGAAGCGATATCCAGCGGACCTCTCGCTCACTTGTTGTTTCTTCGCGCGCCACATGCATCTAACAATGAGGAAAAAAACGGAAAACACGGTGTAGAAACTGAGTTCGTGTCAGAACTTGCCTTTGAGCTCCGGTGAGAGGGGCGCTAGAGGGAGGAGGGGAGTCAGAACTGCACTCATGAAGGCCACCGCGCCTAGGCTACTTACTGTGGAGCCGCGAAGTGGGATAGTCTTAGGAACTGCGGACAGAATACTTGTACAAGGAAGGACTTGTACGAATTGCTTGACGCAGGTGCTGTCTTAGAGACACGTGTGTTTCAGCCTTGTGCTGGACAAAGAACGTAATTACAGCGGTCGTAAAACAGCAATATATGTATCAACTTAGCTGCCGCCAAATGATATTAGAAGTTAGGATGAAGGTGAGTTATGCGTGGCTGCGTGAGTTTATGCTAGCCAAAAGTACCTTTGGTACATTGTGAACAAAGAAATTATGGCCGATTTGCCAGTTTGCGGTCGAGCGCACTCTGATTGCAAGTACCGACTGCTACATAGCTCACGTTATCCTTCTGTTAGCCCTCTTCTATAGCCGTGGTGCCCAAGGGATCTTAGGGGTCTCCAATAAAAGGGCTTTTCCTTAATGTAAAGGTCCCACTTGATTCGTTCTGAAAAATGCGCCTAGTACTCTCATATATGTATGTGGGTGTGTTAAGCAGATGTCTAGGGACTGGAGAAAGGGCAAAAGAAGGCTGATTTAGAGCCTAAACCGGAAATAGTTTTGTATCGTAGGTGGGACTGTAAACGAAGCCCTGTAGCTTACCGAGTTTACCATAAAATTTTTTGTCACACTGGTTTTTATGTGCGATATTCCATTTCCAAAAAAGACCCTCGACTCACCTTGACCAGATCCAAGACTTTGTCAATAAGATAAGGCTCGTGGACCATTCAAACCAAGTTCTCTGAGCAAAGGTGCGTCATTATCGGATTGAATCCTGCAAATAGCTTTCGCACATACACAGACTCAATCTTATGACAATCACCAACGATCACCTGTCTTCTGGGGTTGTTTCTGCCGCTACAAATACACTTCGACAATGCTGGATCAAGAAAGTAAGGCACTGCTGAGCAGCTTTAGTCTCCCGCATTTCACGTTCCGTTGGCATTCCAGCAGCACCAATAGTTTTATGCCGCCTGAAATTGAAATGTAGAACTGCACTATAGAGTCACCATTAAAATTTGACATTTACCTAGTTGGCGTGATTTTGTCTAGACGAGAAGCGCTCAGATGGAATAGAGAGGGTGTGAAGCAAACGGCCAGATTCTGTGCAGGCATCTAAATTGGTGGCACATCAATACGTTCTCCGATCACTTCACTTCAAATCTGGGTCAATCGAAAAATGTACGCGTGCTCCTTACTAATATGAACAGTCTCGTTGTTATGACACATTCCGCTGTCACCTGAGAGTTGGAATCCTTCCTCTATAGAAGGCGGCCTATCACTTTCAATACTCAAAGGTGCATAGCAAGGACGTCCTAGGCTTGGGTCGCACATGAATCCACTGCCACTGACTTAGATTTCCAGCCGTCGCGTGACAGCTGCGCTTCTTCCCACCTTCATTGCCCTTGACTAGTTACAGGCCTTCTGGCCCGCCTTTTCTCTTGTCTCTCCAAGTGCGCATGGTGTCTCTTCACGTCTCGCTAATCCGCGTGCCCTTTGAAACCTTCAAATCAACTGCGAAGAGTGGCGCGATATCCGTTTCTCCACATCCGCAAATCGGCACTTGGATTTTCTTTTTCGCCGTACTATATAGGACTTTAAATTGCAAGAAAAATTCTAATTTGAAGTCACTGTCGTGAAAGATACGATGGTCGCGAAACATTGACATAGAACAGTCGTAAATTTAACAGCTTTCCCAAGTGCTGTCTTACTAGGGATGTCTCCAGGTTGTAATGTCCATTTGTAGCGAGACACAGATCATGGGACATATCTTTCGGACGCTCATCTCAAGTCTGTGTCCGAAATAGCAGCCAATCCTCTGAACGAAGTTATGAAGGTTTGTTTGAATGAAGGGACATACAGTCGAGTGTGATCCCGTGCATGAATACTCGCGAAGCGACATCTTCATCTCATGCCTCAGGACTCTACCACTAACAAGGGAGGTCGTTCAGGGCGTGGTGAGCTTTTTCAAAATGGTCTTGTGCATATTGTAGGGGCACATACGAGGACCAGAAAACTGAGGTTCATTTTCGCTGCGCGCTTCTACGAATAAAAAAAAACGTAAAAAATAGGTCGATGGTTCGGATCCCACCGAGGACAAAATTTTGCTTTTCTACAATTTTTCATTTTTTGGATCCATGTTTGTCTAAATAATTGGTCCTAACAAAAACATTCACGATAAACTGAACAATCCTACTTTTATGGAGCAAAACTGCTTTTTCGTTCGAATTCGTTAGTATGCACAGACTCAGCTCTTCGGCGCTATGCCGGTGCCAGATGGCACTGGAACCGAAAATAAAGTCTAGAATCGTGATCAGGACTGTCGATTACCCCTAGGAGCAAGTTTTGAGCGAAAAAATTTTTTTTGACTTTTTCGGGTTGTAGGTGACCGACCATTTGGTCGGCAGTGTGAGCGGAGTCTCACATCTTCGTAACAGCGATGACGTATCGTTGACGCTACGGACACCGGACAACCCAATAAGCAAACCCAAGAAGGTCAAAACAATTGTTTTGACCAAAAATTCGTTTTTAGTGGTAATCAGTGGTCCTGACAAATATATTCTTGGCGTCCACGCAATCTGGCGACAGAATAGCGCTGAACGTTCCCTATATTGGTGTACATAACGAATTCAGTGGAAAGAAGATGTGGCCCCAAATTGTCTATAATCGCACCACACCAGAATTACTAAATTCGCAATCAGATCCACTGTATAGCCTATGAGGATCAACGTCCAGCAACAATCTTGTTCAATGGTGCGTGAGAATCGAAATAGTTGAATAGCACACTCATGAGGTACAGCTACTCAGAATGTGCCCATAAATGGCAAATATCCGAGTTATATTCATGCGCAGACACTAATGGAAGCGAGAACAGCGAAATCTAAAAAATGCAAAAAGCCACGACGCAAGGGGAGCCGAACCATCAACCCCACCCCACTGTCCGATTGCGAAACCTCCACTCTATCCGCTAGGCCATCCGATGCTCGACACTGCTAGCGCTCTTATCGTTGATGAAACCTGCAAGAAGCCGTTCACCCTTGAGCACATGACCCAAGTTGGAAGCTCACTTACGGCGATTTTTCGCTTCGATTCAAATAGCCCCTTTATAAGGACCCCCACTCAGCAACTGGTCAAAGTTGCAAGTGACCTACGCCGCATAGAGGCCCAACGAAGCAGATTCCAAAGATTTCTTTTCACTCGTTTTTTACCTTTCCTGGAAGCGCGCAGCGAAAATGAAGCACACTTTTCAGGTCCTTGCATGAGCCCCTACAATATGCAAAAAACCGTTTTCGAAAAGCGCACCACGCCCTGAACGACCTCCCTTGTAAGATGCCGCCGATGGATGTGGGTGCGCTTCGCGGGTATTCATGCGTTGTGATCGCGCTCAACTGTGTGTATCCTCATTTGAACAAACCTACACAACTCTTCTTTCAGAGAATCGGTCTGCGAATTCCGAAGACAAACTCGAGGTCAAAAGCACGCCCTGTAATTTAATTCTCTTTACAAATGGCCGTTCCAACCTGGGGACCATACCTTGCTAGTTGGAACAAGATGTAGAGCGACGGTTGGCGCGAGCTGAAGAGCGCCGAACTATGTTGTGTTCCATACTCTTACGTATTAGGTTGTCCGGAAAGTTCTCAGCGTTTTGTGCACCTATTTTTTGTACATTCACTGCTGATTAAAAACTCATTCTGCCTTGCTTCTCAGTAGCACATCCTGTAGAGAATTTCTTGCGCTATCTGATGGTATAATTGCCGTTTCACCATTGCTTGATAAACCCCTTTTTTCAAGATTTTTTCAAGCATGTGAAAAGAGCACTTCGGACGATTTTTTTCTTCGACTATAAATTGGGGCAATCCGCAATCGAAACAGCTCAACAAATTAACCAGGTGTGGGGGCCCAATAGTGCTAGAGAAAGCACTGTGCGGCAATGGCTCAACAAATTTCGTTCTGGAGATTTCAGCCTTGAAGATGAACCTCATAGCGGTCGACCTAAAGCAATATCTGACGAGGATTTTAGGGGGATTTTGGAGGCTGACCCATCCCAAACAGTTCGAGAGATAGCAGAAGAGCTAGGCGTTGGCAAATCCACTGTTGCAGATGGTCTGGAACGCATTGGGAAGGTGAAAAAACTCGACAATTGGGTGCCCCACAATCGGAGTGACCGGCAGGAATCGGCACGTCTCGAGGTTCCTTCTGCATTGCTTTTGCGCAGCAGAAACGACCTGTTTTTGGGCCGAATTGTCACCTGTGATGAAAAATGGGTCATGTATGATAACAGGAGACGTTCCGGACAGTGGTTGGATTTCGACGAACCACCGAGGTAATTTTCAAAGCCGAACCCTCACAAAAAAATTCTGGTCACGGCTTGGTGGTCATCGGCTGGTGTGATCCACTATAACTTTTTATCACCAGGCCAAACCATCACAGCAGAACCCTACTTGAAGAAATCGACGAATTGTACCGAAAATTTTGTCAGATGCAGCCAACACTTATCAAAAGAAAGGGTCCGATTCTTTTGCATGACAACGCCCGCCCACACGTTTCACAAATCACTATCCATAAATTGAACGAATTGGGGGTTGAAGTTCTACCTCAACCGCCATATTCTCCAGACCTTTCGCCAACCGACTATCACCTTTTCAAACATTTTCAGAACTTCCTTGCTGAAAATACTTCATCAATTAGGACCAGGCAAAAAAGACCTTCGTAGATTTCGTGGATTCTCGACCACCCAGTTTTTTTTGATGGGATTTCTCGACTGCTGTCACATTGGCAAAAGTGTGCTGATTCGAATGGTGCCTATTTCGATTAAATCCGATGAGTATTAAAAAAGTTACGATCGTTTAAAGTGAAACACCCAAAACGCTGAGAACTTTCCGGACAACCTAATAGAACGCTCCAAACTGTCTTGGAGGGCCAAAAAAGCATTCCAGCAGGCTAAACTGATTTGACAGGAAAATAGTCCAGTGAACCTACACTGTTATTTTCTGCATGCTTTGACACATCACTCAGGAACAATAGCAATGTTTGAAGCGCTTCACGATTCTCATCAGGGAGCAGAAGAATCGCATACTGGAGCGCGAGCATTCTGAAATGGTTTCGACTCTTCAACACTAAGCAGTCAGCTAAGAGATTCAGTGATGAAACCAAAAGCTTTTATCAAACAAAAAGTCTAGTGATGAGCGAAAGTTTACCTTTCATTCTCAGGCACGTGTATGAAAATATTGGCAAATGTTTCCGATAGCCTTGCGGTCATCAGCGGCTCTGGTAACTCCCTCAAGTACTGCTTCAACATATCGGCTACATCATGTACCTGAATATATCATAAGGCTCAGCTGAATAAGGGAGTCTACAACACAGAAATTACATCGATACCAGCATCTAAAGACCACCATAAAGATAGTTATGCACCCCCATAGAGATGATTATGACAGTGACGCGGAAATAGTGTAACCTGTCCAGGATCAAGTCGATTCTCATCGATGAATACGTCCACGTCAGTATCACGATCACAAATGGTTCGTAGCTCGAGAATTCGTGACTTAACGCCATTCTTCCGAAAGATACCAACAGTATCCGCTGACATCTGGCGAAGATAACGCAGTACCTGTAAGCAACGGAATAAGGAGGATATAATGAAATCGCTTTGAACTAGACAACTTGCGATCATAATGGCCCTACTCATTCCACCTGGGGTATGTTTTGGGATACTTTCCCTGCACATTACTGGCAAATTGTCGTTATTTCATAGGAATGGCTTCAGAGTGAAAAAAAGGCACAGTTACTGTTGCTTGCAGCTCTCTCATTTGAGTCCTGCGTGCTCAAAGTAAACGGGTCACCTCCAATTTGGGATCCTTGGCAATTCATCGGACCGGCAGTGAGCAAGAGCCATTCCTTCGTTCAGCTTAAGCCCTGATTAATTCTGCTGCTATCGTATATTTTGAGTGTGGTTCATGATGAGGCGCGGGGCATAGTGCGCAAATTAGGAAAGTATTGCCTAGCTAGACGACTCGACGGGCAGCAGAATTGTGAATGAGCTAAGTCCTGATGCGAGTGACTCCGCCTGTAAACTCCCCTCCACCCCTCGTCGCCTTCTGGCGGTTCTGATGCGCTGAACTACATCTCAGATTCTTGTCTTGTGCTTTGATAAATAACTTCTTGCTTTGAGAAGTGGGTCTTCGATCTCAAATAGCAAAGCCTCTATAAAGAAAGGAAGCAGGAGGCTCTACGGAAGGAGCGACTATGTCGCGTCATTTCTGCTTGTCTCCATCTTCTTCATACCAAGCCGGCAATTTGCATTTGTACACATTTCGCGCTTCGAAAATCAAGGCGAGACATTCAGCATTGTTGTGCCGAAGCATGACACCCTCGAACTAAATTTTCCGCGATTTCTTAATACATCTTAGCTATCAGTCACTCCTATGAAGGTGAATGTTGCCAAACGGTATCTGCAAGGTGGCACTACTGTAAAAAACCAAAGAGTCATAGCTCTAACCTCCAGAATAGTCCGTGGGAGACACAAGCCGGATCGCCTGTGGATGGCCGCTAGTGGTTGACCAAACACTGCGATTACTTCAATTTCTGAATATATTCTTCTCAATGTCGACATCGAAAAACTTCGGACTGTCGAGAATTTTCGGGAAACCTTCAAACCTTTTCCAGTCCTTCCATCCATTTGCTTGATCTTTTTGAAGAGCTTTTGCACTGTCCAGTTTTTGGCGGCACCATTCTGCGTAGGCGATAAGTCTGAAAGGCACACTCATTCGAACCGCATGATACGCGAAAATATTACAGTCAAAACACGGTCTATACAAACTAAGTATAGCTGCTATCCCTGCAATCAGCCGCGGCGGTGAATGGAGTCGCCATATGAACCCGACCCCCGGCTGTGTTTCCTACCAATAGTGATCTGTTAATGATCGATTCAAAAAGAAAACGAGTGATGAAAACGCTGCAAGTATGCTCATTCCATGACTCTTGCTCTATTAGCGCAGTTCGGCCACGGAGGGGGGAGGGAGTGTCGCGGTTCGCGACAACGTGGCCGGGGTCCCGTGCGCCTGGGCTCTGGCGCGCTACACGGGCAAAGCCGCGACGCGACCGCCGAAGGCCGCGCCGCCGCCCCGCCCCCAGTGGAGCCCTTATAAGGGCTGCTGCGAGCCAGTCGGTGTGCTTCTCTCCCTCCGGGAGGAGAGATCCACCGGGCACCCGCTCTGCCGCCATGATGCCGGACGGTTGGCAGGGTGCTTGCACTCTGCACAGCAGTGTGGTCGGGCACACTGCTCCGTCTGGCGGAGCTCTGGCTCTGGCCCGTGCCTGCTATGACCCGAAGGCACGGCCGGCTGCGGGTTGCAGCTTGTAGCCGCAGGGCGCCATTTACCGCTAGGATCGCTGAACGTTGGAGATGGATGGTCAGTCCAGCTACGGCAGGATATGAGGACAGGTTGGAAGATGGTTTACCGCTGAGCCAGTGAGTCTTAGATAAATATGAAGTTTATTTATCTTGTAATGTTTGTAATAGGTGGGACTTGGGAGCGACCGGGCAGATGGGTCCGCAAGGGGCTGGTCGGTTGTAGGTACATTGGTTGTTGTTGTTACTTCTGTTTATTCGGTTCTAGTTGCCTGCCTCAGGGCCAGTACCAGGTAGGCATTTAGTGGAACGCGGTTAAAGCAGACTGTAACAGTGGTAGGAGGGTCTGGCTGGACCCGGGGGTCCAGGACGGACTTGGAGGTCGGAGCGCCACGCAACGGGATAATGCCTGTTGCATGGCTGCCGTCCCTGCAGGCCTGCCGGCGGGCTTGAAGGCCGTGCGGTCCCGCCGGGGAACGGGGGCTGACTATGCGTGCGGACAAGCGGTATATGTCTCCGGGGAACTTTGATGACTGGTGGTGGGCTGGATGCATGTGTAAGCCGGGACGCTCGATACGATCGATGGCTCGACGTGGTGAGGTACTATCATAGAGCGGTCTCCTCTCTTGAACTGCGACAACTGATGCTCGCCGCGCTAATCGTTCCCACGCATGTTCCGGGGCCAGACAGGGCCTGAGGACGGCATGTACGGACCATGAAGGCCCTTTTCAGCCGCTGTTCTCACGTCGCATGGTTAATGCCAGAAATTCAGGTACACTCGAGTTTCCCCGCCCTAATTGCCTCGAGTCGTCCTATCGGTTAGGCAATTGCCGATCGCTTCTGGGCCAGTGCATCAAACCGGGGTCTAGCACGTCGGTAAGCTGGTTCATGGCTTAAGTCGCAAGGAACCTGTGCAACCTGCCGCTCTCGCCGCTGTCTGCAGGTTTCTCTTCCACGTTGTTCTACACGGGCAAGGGAGCACTACAACCTGGGTGAACCACTGGTTAATGTCCTGGAAAGGCATCGGGAGATGGCGGCCAGGACAGGGCAGGCTGAAGGGTCAGCCTACCCTCGGGGTGCTTCCTGGGGCAGATGACCCCAGTGAGGTGTCCCTCCAGGGGGGAGGGACAGTTCAGCTCTGCGGGAAGTAGGGCAACCTGGGTGTAGTTGCAACCTCACCTGACGCACTGGTCCACGAGCGGTTCATAAGGTTCTGGCTTACCCTGTACCTCGTGGTACTGCCCCTTTTAAGGTCTATTACCCGTAAAAGTAACCAATGGTCACCTTTCCAGCCATGTCGCTCCAAGTCCCTGGTAATATATTTTACGGGGTTCTTCTCAATTTAATAGGGTTCTAAAGTTTTTCAAGGTTATAAGGTAGTTCCAGCTTTTCGGTTTGTTTGGTAAGGTTCTTAGGCTCCTTTATGGGTTTAGGCGGCTTATCATATGTAGTTTATTTATTTCTTTCCTTTCACATTTTTCTTTCCTAGTATCCACGTGTTTATCGCGCGATATCCATCGCTTTACCGCTTTTAACCGATTTCCGATCGATACACACGTTTCGATCGAATCTCGATTAAAATCACCGCGTCGATCACCGCGATCGACTTACCGCTTTATCAGTCTAGGGATCGATTTCCGATCGATTCCCATTTTTTCCGCTCGACAATCGCTCAATTACCGCTTAATTAGCCTTATTTCCCTTCGATTTAATCGATATTCGTGTTAGCATTCGTTGCTGGCTCGTTATCGATCATTTCGCTGGGAAATCGGCTCTTTCCCAAGCGTTTCCAGCCGTTCTCATGAGAGAGCATGACAATTGGAGACGCAGACATGGGAAAGTCACCGCTATCATGGGAAAGTCGCACGCCGTCGATTACGTCATTCGCGCTCGGCGAGAACATGGTCGGCGTCGTGAGAAATTCCCACGCTCCACCCCTTTCCGCTATATAGTCGATATCGCAGTCACCCAGTTCATTCGAATCGTTATGGCGATTGCGATGGACTTCAATATTCTCAAGCAGGAGATGCTGCAAACTATCGACGACCTTCAGGAGACGATCAAGCAAGCCGAACAACAACTCAACGACGACGTTCCTAAGGACGAAGAACAAGTTGAGGCTTCGACACGATCCAGTATACAAGCAAGGCTACGTCGTCTCGGCTTTATGCGAACTAAACTTTCGCGTGCACTGCACAACGCGAAAGGTCATTGGGAGTCGGCGTTGCAGGCTATTGTTCGATGTGAGGAGGAGGATCACCGCAGTGAGCTCTACCGCGAGGTTCGCCTCCATTGGGTCAACCATGGGGCACGCCAAGCGATGGGAGCGGCGGAAGATCTTCTTTGTCATTTCGACAATGCCGTCCAACTGCTGCTCAACCCATTACCGCTACAATTACCGCAGGCAGAAATGCCGAGAACTGCGACACCTG